ATATATACCAGGGTATCCGAAGAGGAGGAGCTAATAACCATCAACATTGATTCGTCCGAGCAGTCAAGAGCGAGACTACAGCTCCAACCGACCCTCGGTGCGCAAACTCTGCCTCGCTCGACACCGAGGCCGCGGGCTCCGCCTCGCCCGCCCCCTGAGGGTGGCTCTACCTCGCCCGACACCGAGGCCGTGGGCTCCGCCTCGCTCGACCCCTGAGGGCGGCTCCGCCTCGCCCGACACCGAGGCTGCAGGCTCCGCCTCGTCCGACCTCTAAGGACTGGCTCCGCCTCGCCCGACCCCTGAGGGTTGGCTTCGCCTCGCCCAACATCGAGGCCACGGGCTACGCCTTGCCCGACCCCTGAGGGCGGCTCCGCCTTGTCCGACGCCTGAGTGTTGGCTCCGCCTCGCCCGACACCGAGGCCGCGGGCTCCGCCTCGTCTGACCTCTAAGGGCTGGCTCCGCCTCGCCCGGCCTCTGGGGAGGAACTCCGCCTCGCCCGATCCCAAGGTCAGGGGCTCCGTCTCGCCCGACGGAGACCCATGCCACCACCGACCACTCCATGTCCAAGCATGTGGGCCTGGGTCAAAGCTTTGGCACCAGGGAGATGACCGACACGCCCCGATATAGCCCGTGGCCGTGACGGGCCATACCTGAGGGCTCACATCAGGAACAGAGTCGGGCGAACTGGTAATGTTCTGCCTAACCCTCGTATGAACACTGACAGGCGCGTCAGTTCGCCACGACGTCCGCCAGAACGGAGTGGAGCGCAACGACCAGGAGACGACGCCTGCGCATGGCGCCAGTGACGGATAGGGCCGCGACGTGAAGCTGTCTCTGTTGACGTCTACAGGGTCAGCGGGACCAGCATAGAAGAGAAGAAGGACCCGGTGATCCTGGAGGACTTCTTCTCCTTCTGATTTTCCTTTTTTCCCTCCGCTGTAACCCCTGCTTTCTCTTGATCTATAAAAGGGAAAGCAGGGCGTCCCATTAGAGGGCATCGGACCAACGATCGAAACACATCACACCGATTCGGACTCGAACCTCGAACCGATTAGGGCACACAAGCATGCAGCCAAGAAGCAACCGAGCCCTCGGCACCCATTCGCTCATCTCACCAGAGACTTGGGACATGTCCCTCTCTCGACCGTTTGTAACCCCTGCTACGAACTTTCAGTGCTAGTAACACGAGCAGTAGCAACGAACTGGACGTAGAGACATTCTGTCCGAACCAGTATAAACCTCGTGCCCTCTTAGCACACCATCCGGGCCAAACACGAAATATTAAAAATTTACTAGTCGGTGACCACTCGAAACACCGACATATACCGAAATTTATATATATATATATATATATATATATATTGTTATGCATCTAGGTACTGTGCTATGTCTACATACATAGAAGAAGCTATGTACCTAGAAAAAACTAAAATGATCTATAATTTAGAATGAATGGAGTATATTTTCTTCTACTATATATTCATTCTCGTGCAATTAGTTTTTTAAAGTTTTATGGGAAAGATATGTTGATAAAAACGTTACAACTCCAGGAGCCTGAGTAACCAATTTATTTTTATTTTTATTTGAACTAGTAATGCTTATCAATTTTAGAAGGATATATATCTCTTGAAACAACCCAAATCCTGTGACGAGACTACGAGCTTTTGCGGTGGGCAAGGAGAGGAATAAGCCATCGATCAAACCCTAGACTAAAACCTAGCCACAAACTAACGACCAAACATAAAGAGTGTAACCTATTTTGTGGGCATGCAATTAAACAACACATAGGACCATTGGTATATAATATACTACATCGGCAAAACCATGGATGTTTGTCATGATGCTTTTGAACTGATAATGTTTACTTAATGTTTCTAGAAGGACGCCACTTCTTGAAGATATGCAACCCAGAAATAAAAAAATAAACACACACACACACACACCATATTCATATTCCTTCCAAAATTTTGACCCAAATTCAGGGCTCACAGTGTTTTATTTGTAAACGAATATTTTTATGTAGCATTCAAATAAGGGAGAGATTGGCAATAAACCTATCATAGATTTAAACTTTAGAGAATGAATCAATTTGCGCCACAAACCAAGAATAAACTACTACCATGCATGCATGCATGTGATGTGAATGACACAGAGAGGCGCCAAGCCTTGGTCATCTTAATCCGGAGAACTCTACGATCGGGATTCCAATGGACAACGACGACGACGACCGGTTTTGGCCTTTGCCGTCAACCTCCTCCTCATCCTCCGCGTCCTGCTTTCAGCACACTCTTCGTATACAAAAGCAAAAGCAAAGGGTAGGCGATCCGCGATCGATCGGCCTGACTATATATATTATTCATTCGTTGCACTCCACATATTTTTTTTTTCAAAGCGAAAATTCTCCACGTTTCTACTAGTCAAAAAGGCTCTAAAAGGCTGGCAAGGCGGCAAGCTCATTTTTTCAAGTTTAGATTTCCACCAATGCCCGCGTGCATATGTGTGGAAGGTGGCCGTCCAGCTAATCTTCCTTCAGCGAGAACAAGAAAAATTAAAGGATGGGGAATTGGGATGGCTTTTGCATTGGGTTTTCTGAAAAGCCAGGGATGATAAGAATTTGTAGTGGCCTTGGTTGCTTTGAAGTTAATACGCACCTCTCTACCTTTTGGTAGGCACTAGCATATAGGCAGGGGCATATATCTAGTAAAACATGTGGCTAGGGTCATATACGAACTACGAGTCTACGACTTCATGAAAATTCGTCTAAAAGCATGTAATATGTAGTTACTTAAATATTCCTACATGTTACATCACTAAAAGATGTGACTATTTCTAATGGCCGTGTAAAATGACAAGATATATTTGCTGGGAAATACAGCTTTACAATCATGTCCCAAATTATAAGTCATTCCAACTTTCTTGTAGAGTCAAAGAATCTCAAATTTATCTGAATTTATATAATACTAAGATAATAACATTTTTGATACAAACTAAGTATTATTAGGTTCTTCATTGATTATATTTTCATAGCATACCTCATTGATGTCATAGATCTTTGTAATTCTCTCTATAATTTTGGTCAAACTTGAGATGTTTTGACTCTCCAAAATTTTTGAAATGACTTATAATTTAGAGGAGATGGAGTACTTATTTCTTCTTTTACACGAGAATATTGTGTGGTTATAGTCTATAGATAGCTATATAGTATTTGGATGGTTTAAATTTTTATATTAAAAAAGCGTTAGTCAAATTATATGATTCAAAGATTGCCAAAATCACGGATACAGAACTTGCGTCCCTACCGGTGCATTTTGTAGAGAGGGTAAGGAGACACCCTTCATCATTTCTTTATTTTACTCATGATTGAAAATGGTAACTAAGAAAACACATAAAGCAACAAATGGTACCTTTTGGTGTTGGCGTATGTATCCCTGTAGCAAGAGGGAACTGCCTCACCGGTCACCAGCCACCGATCACCAGCTAACCAGAAATATATTATTCTCTAGTTACTTTCTCTGTCACATTTCTTTTGATTACGAGTTTTTCCTAATCCTCCTCAATTTTGTTGGGTTACTGGATTACTGACTGATATTTTTTTTTCTTATACCTACTCTTTGAGTCTATTCTTTGAGAGTTGAGAGCATTGATTCTTCTACTCTATATAACTATTTTGTGTATTACTTCTTATCAAAAAGAAAAATAAAAATATATATTTTGACAATACTTTCTCCATGGTATTTTCTTTTTTAAGAGATAGTCTTAACTGAACTATATATTTTTTAGATTATACAGTACAACGTCGTCTACCACTGAAAATCACAAAGTCGTTAAATCTTAGAATATTCGTTCACACGGGGAGCCGAACCCGGGACCTTAGACCAGTCTCAATGAGAGTTTCATGGGATGAAATGAGTTTTATGGAGATGAAACTTATTTACACTGTTTTCAACACCAGGGAGTTTTGGAAACAGAGCTATGAAACTCCCACTGAGACTGGCCTTAGTGCTACTAAGGCTTTCGTGACCACTAAGCTACATGCTCTTTCGCATTAACTGTTCTTAATCCTCATATTGTTGTGGAGTATTGGCTTGATATATTACTTTTTTTCTACTAGGAAATGCTTTAAGTACAGCCTAACTACAACGACGCATCTAAACTATCAACATTTATGAGTTCTCCTTGACCATTGAATCGTAGCTAGTTAGTTGTTGATAAGGTTATACTCCTTCCGTTACAAACTATAATACATTTTGGTATTTTTACTATGTAAGCCATGAGTTTAGAAAAGCTAAAATGTCTTATAATTTAAAACAGAGTACTAAAATGGTTATACGTGTAAAAGTTGCACTTTTTCTCGAATACACAAAAGATTTGAGCGTGAATAGGCAGAAAATGATTAAAAAAATCAGAAACAAAGTCCCATCACTAAACCCTCTGATCCTGTAAACCAATGTTCATCGTGGCAGTTAGTGTCACTGGCTCACTCCCATTTGTAAATAATAAATAAACTCAGAAGCATGGAGAAAGGTAGTGGGAGCAAGTGGCGGTTAAAATATCCTATACTTCTTCTGATCCTGAAAAGTACCACCTCCAGTTTCTCCATTTATAAATAAAAAAAAACTGGTAATTCAGCAAATGACGCACGAGGGGGCAAAGGCAACAGCAAGAATACAAAAATATATACCGGAATCGAGATTATCAGGTTAAACACCGGAGTAGCAAAATCTAACCTTCCCATATATAAATATCCAAGCTTAGCTACTCCGGCAGACACGTAGCGGAGAGGGCGCATCAGCGTCACCGCTCCGTCCGGAGAGTAGAATCGTCGCCTCCGGAGTCCGGACGCCACGACCACGAGAGCCGTCCGTCCCCTGCTTGTCCGGCCCAGGCCGGCACGACGAGCCTGAGCCTGAGGAGGGAGCAGTAGCTTGGTTTGCTCGGTGCTCGCTCTCGGTCTTGGCTGCGTGTCTGAAGCTGTTGATGCGAGTGAGGGCTCGGTTTCCATGGCTTTCATGGCGGCGGCGGCGGCGAGGATGGACGACCAGGACGAGTACGCCAAGCTCGTCAGGAGGATGAACCCACCCAGGTGATTCATCGATCATCTGTTCTTTTTTGCCTTCATTTCCTCTGGTTTCATTTGGCATAGGCTCGAGTTTTTTTTATCATACTATACTATATGGATAGCTTCTGTAGTCTCCTTGTGTTGTCCGGTTCCTGTCCAAGTATCTTGTGTTTTCAGTTTCTTGTTTCACCATATCAAATCAAATTTGTGCAATCGGTTTGCTTCTTGGTATGCTTAACCCTTAAGAAAACAGAGTAGCAAGGTCTGTTTTGCTTGGCTGTCTCACTGATCTGCTCCGATTGATTACTGACAAGCGCAGCGCAAAATTAACAGGGTTGTGATCGACAGCGAGGCCTCCGACGACGCCACGGTGATCCGGGTCGACAGCGTCAACAGCCATGGCACGCTGCTCGCCGTCGTCCAGGTCATCGCCGACCTCAACCTCGTCATCCGCAAGGCATACTTCTCCTCCGACGGCAACTGGTTCATGGACGGTCAGTCAGTACCCAAATCTTCCTGGCGATATTTTTCTTCTTCGTTCATGTCTGAAAAACAAAAAATGATCTTTCTAATCTTCATTCAGTGTTCAATGTCACCGACCGTGACGGCAACAAGGTTCTTGACGCCTCAACCATATCCTACATCCAGAAGGTACTTAATTGACTGTTTGCACTCAATTTTTGTTTGAATCATCTGATTCTGATCGAGTTTGTTGCCTTGCTGTGTTTCTCGCAGACGCTGGAGGCGGACGACTGGTACTACCCGGAGGCGCGCAACACGGTGGGCATCGTGCCGTCGGAGAACTACACCTCTATCGAGCTCACGGGCACCGACCGCCCGGGCCTGCTCTCGGAGGTGTGCGCGGTGCTCACTGCCATGGGCTGCGCCGTCCAGAGCGCGGAGCTGTGGACGCACAACACGCTCGTGGCCGCCGTCGTGCAAGTCTCGGACGCCGACACCGGCGGCGCCATCGAGGACGCGGCCCGCATCGCCGACATCAGCGCGCGCCTGGGCAACCTGCTGCGCGGGCAGAGCGACGTCCGCGCCGGCGGCGGCTCCGGCGCGGGCAGCCTGGCGCTCCACAAGGAGCGGCGCCTGCACCAGATGATGTTCGACGACCGCGGAGTCGGAGTCGGAGTGGGAGGGCACGCCGCGGGCGCGCCAGCAAACTCCGACGGCCCGCCGCGCACGGAGGTGTCCGTGACGCCGTGCGCCGAGCGCGGGTACACCGCCGTGGTGGTCCGGTGCCGGGACCGGCCCAAGCTGCTGTTCGACACGATGTGCACCATCACGGACATGGAGTACGTGGTGCACCACGGCACCGTGAGCGCGGAGCCCGGCGGCGGCGCGTACCAGGAGTACTACATCCGGCACGTGGACGGCCACGCCGTTCGGTGCGACGACGAGCGGCAGCGCCTGGTGCGGTGCCTGGAGGCCGCCATCGAGCGGCGCACCGCGGAGGGGCTGGAGCTGGAGGTGCGCACGGGGGACCGCGCGGGCCTGCTCTCCGACATCACCCGCATCTTCCGGGAGAACGGGCTCACCATCCGCCGCGCCGAGATCTCGTCCTCGGGCGGCGAGGCCGTCGACACGTTCTACCTGTCCGACCCGCAGGGCCTCCCCGTGGAGGCCAAGACCATCGAGGCCATCCGCGCGCAGATCGGCGAAGCCACGCTAAGGGTGAAGAACAACCCGTTCGCCTCCGGGGACGGCGCCGCGAGGAAAGACGCCGACGTCGCTGGCGCTGGCACCACGGCGTTCATCTTCGGGAACCTCTTCAAGTTCTACCGGCCGTTCCAGAGCTTCAGCCTCATCAAGCTCTACTCATGATATGAGCACTTTGGTTTGGTAGTAAAATTTTCACGTGTTACTGTAGTTTAGCTCGCTGCTCCTTGATTTCCCAGTTCCCAGTAGTGTAAATATGGCTGTGGATGATGATGCCGATATACACAGTACAGTGTAAATATGTAGTTTAGGTTAAGGTTAAGTAGCTGCAAGGTTGGGAAGAATGATAATTTTATTGTAGCTCCCAACAACAAATTAGTGCATATTCATACTGGAATTGGGCTATTTCAATCTTTGTAAATACTCATCTTGTATCTATGTTCGTACATATTCTTGTTGGGGCAGAATATACAAGAAGATAAAAACAAATCTGGACTCTGCAATGTAGGAACTGTATTTTTTGCACACATCTTATCTTAGATTCCAGTGTGATTTCAGGCGATGACATCATGTCGTGTGCTTGGTACGTCATCGCCCTTTTTTTCTTTTATATAGGTTTTTTTTCAGTTTTCAAATTTTCATCAAAATATCACAAAGTGTCAACTTTTGGTCGAAATTTTAGCAATTTTTTGTTTCTACTTGTATTTGTGTCACAACCGATAGACAGAACCTTACTACAGAGTGGAGAGATAGCAAGCTTGGTGGAGGAGCTAGACAGTAACTAGTAAGGCATGATGTCGGTAGCTGCTGCCTACTTGTGGCGGAAGAAGACCGGTATGGTGCTCGTGGAGAAGGAGATCCTTAGCAGCTAGAGAACCGGAGCATGGCCCACGTTTTCGTTACCATGTTCCACGTTCTGAGAAAGTCGATATTTCTAAAACGGGAATGTTTCTGTTCTCATGTTATAAAATAATACCCTAAGTTCCCGTTTTCGTTCCGGGAATGGGAACGGGAACATGGCTGCTAAGAGGAGATCCAAAATAGAGCGGCTAACAGTGCAACGGGTTGGAGACAACCGAAGGATGGCGGGAGGGAGGGGGTGACGATAAGAGACAACTCCCAACACTCTGAGAGGAAGAAGAATTGCCGATACGTGCCATAGGATGAACCATGGATGTTCTTGATGAATGAATGCAAAAAATTATGGCACCTGTTTGTTGGTGTCACCTACTCCATCCATTCTAAATTATTGTATGTTACATGAACTTTGTATTAAGTCAAACTTCTGTAATTTTGACAGTTTTTAAAAATATATTGACATCTCTAGGTTCAAACAAATGCACTATCAAAGACATATACGGAGAATTTATTGGAAATACTTTGGTGTTGAAGATGTTGGCGGGTTTGTTTTAATTTGATCAAAATTTGAGAAGTTTGACTTAGAATAATACTAAAATGACCTGTAGTTTGTAATGGGTTAATTATATTCTTTTTACTTTTCGAAACGAGGCTTTACCCCTTTTCCATTGTCGTAGATGATGAAAATACAAAACATGATAAAACTAGATAAATAAAGTTTTGCTAGTCCTAGGCACTAAATCTAAATGACCATTTAAGTCATTTAAACTGCATTTAAATCGTAAATAGTGGCTAACTTTGTTGTTTAGACTCTAAGCAATCCATTAAACGGTAAAAAAAAAAGAGAAAATAACATTCTAAAATGTCTAAATGGGATATATGTAAACATGATTAGACTTGCTTAACGCTTTTAATTCAAGGTTTAGTGAATATGAGGATTTCAACCACCTCATTATCACCCAACTAATTGGCATCTTAATATATGTGAGGGGAGTGAGATTTGGTTTCCTTCTCCCAAACTTTTTACTTGGTAGAATACTTATATTTTAACATACATAATTATGTATACTTATTAGTTTTATATGCATAAATATGTACTCCCTCCGTTTCAATTTATAAGGCACGGTCTGATGTAACACAGTCTTCTATATTACAGTTTGACAACTCATTTATCTTATATTATATTCTTTATGACTATAAACTTGTGATTATTGGATAGTAAATTTTATTATTAATCGAATAGAATCAAGTTTGTATTACAATAGTTAAAAATGTTGGCTAAATTATTAGTCAAAGATTACAAAGATTTTTTAAGACCAAAGGCTTTTTAGCCCAGCTTATATTAAAAGTTTAACTAGGTACAGTGTTGGGGATACCAGCTTTACAAGTCTTAACAGCACAACGACTAACCGCATTCCACTACATCCATACAGAAGCGACCAGAACCTCCCTAACACCACCAGCTACAAAAGAAAAACCAAAACGCGATTGCAACATAAGTGAAACCAGATAAAACTAGAGGAAAACAACCACCTAGGAGCAGATCACCAGCGTGCTAGCCCTTCCTTCAGCTTCTCCACCTAGGCTTCCTTCTTGGACCCGTCCTTCTTCGCCAATTTGATCCACTGCTTTAGAAAAGCCAATTGATTTGTAGCCACTTGTTTGGGAGATTTAATCACAATGGCAGAGAAAACTAAATCATATCTAGTTTTCCACAAAGCCCAACCAATAGCAGCCATCACCCACCATAACACACCATTATCAATACTACCAGCACAAGACAAAAAGTTCTCTTGAAAACTATCATTTTGTTCGGCTGATGGTTTTTGCGGCTGATAAGCCAGCTGAAGCTAATTTGTTGTGAGAGAAAAACACTATATCATGGCTTATAAGTTCAAGCAACAGGACGACATGTGTAGGAGCCAGCCCACCCCAGTCTACTATAGCAGACGTGTGCTTTGCCGAGTGCAATTGCACTCGGCAAAGCCTTTGCCGAGTGCTGCACTCGGCAAAGAGCTGTCGGCATATCCCTTCACGGCAAAGGCTTCTTTGTCGAGTGCCGCATGTCGGGCACTCGGTAAAGGATTTCCCGAGTGCCACGACGGCACTCGGCAAAGAAAAGCTGTTGTGACGGCCAGGTCACGGTGACGGCCCCTTTGCCGAGTGCCACGCGTCGGCACTCGGCAAAGAAATGCGTTATTTATTTTTTTTAAAAAATGCTTTTGCTGAGTGCCTGCATCTGGCACTCGGCAAAGCTTGTTTTCTTTTTTTTGGATTTTCTTTGCCGAGTGCTGTAGTTAGGCACTCGGCAAAGCAGTTTTTTTTTAATTTTCTTTGCCGAGTGCCTTGACCATGGCACTCGGCAAAACTGGGAAGCTTAGTGTCCCAAATTTCTAGCTTTGTCGAGTGTCATGGTCATAACACTCGGCAAAGAAGTGAAAAAATTCAATTTTCTTTTGGTTTTTAGTCTTCCATCGTTGCAAACAAGATATACATCATATATATATATAACACAACTATATATCACACAAATATATATATATATAATACAAATGTATATCACAATCCACCACAAACACAAACATAGCATACAAGTATCACAATCTCGACTCCCAAGTCCAAAGTCCAAACACACAAGCATAGTTCACAAAGTTCACAAGTGCATTATATCACAACGGCTGCCATTTGAAGCTCACGGCGACGGTCCGGGTTGGGATGGCCCAACGTGCGATCCCGGCGACCCTCCGAGGTGGTTCGACGCCGCCCCCGATTGATGCTGCACAAAATAGAAGAGATTGCACGTGAGTGACAAGAGAAGAGATAAATATACAAGATAAATATCCGCCACTACCACCACCACCACCACATCACCGCCATCACCAACACTTCACCGCCAACACTTCACCACCACCACCACCACACCACCACCACCATGAGCACCACAACACCGTGACCACCACCACACCACCACCATGACCACCACACCACCACCACCACCACCACTAGGTTTCTCTAGGTTTCATTAGGTTTCTCTAAGTTTCAGCATAGAAAGTAAAACTTCGTACTTATACTCACCGGGGTAGAATCAGGACGTTGTGGAGGTGGATCTGGAGCAAGCAGCGTCTGTGGGATCGCCCAACCTTGTTGCTGGCCAATTTGCTGCATGAACTTGATCATCTCGGCCATCTGCCGCTGATCTTGCTCCCGCTAGGCCTCCAAAGCCTATAGCCTCTGCTGCTCGGCCTCCCGCTCGGCCTGCAGTTCCTGCACCTGGGCCTGCAGCATTTGACCCCAATGTTTTAATAATGCATAGGTAAGGTATGTAAAAGTCAAAGAACGATGAATGAAACAGGAATGCTTACCTAGAGTGCCGACACCGCGGTCGGCCGTTGGCGTATGGGCACGCTTGAGCTCGTGCTCGCTGCTTGGAGCTGGTGGAGAGGAGGAGTAGAGGCCGTGTCGAGGACGCCGTCGCCAATCCAGAATCGCCCATGCTTCTTGCCTTGCCCCACCCTCATCACGAGCTGAGGATCAAGGCGCTCCTCGGTTCTCGGATCGTAGCCCGGCCCATGGACTGACCTTGCCGCCTCCGTGTACGAAGAGAGGCGGGTGTGGACGCTGGAGTTGGTGTACACCTCAAATGGGGCATCTGGGTCGTACTCGATGTTGGCCGTCGCCTTGCCCATGTGAGCCAGAGCATATGCCTTGAGTTGACCAACTGGCTGGCCACCGTGTGCATCCGACTACGAGAAAAACAACAACATGTGGTTAGAAATGATGTAGAATTGAGCGCGGCTAGATTAGAGCAATGGCGGAGACTTACATATGCCTTTGCATATTTGCTGAGGCTGCGGCTACCCTGATGATGAGGTACACCTGGCATCTGCAAATGCCTGTCGCGGGCTTCCTCGTGCTTCTTCTGCCAGTCCCCGTCCAACCAGGTGTCCACAATATATTCCCAGCAATCGGGGTGGGTGGCGCACCAGCTTGGAATCGCCTACAGGACATCAAGTAGACGACAGATCAGAAGATCAAATTAGGCATACTTAATCTCAAAAGAAATGAATATTCATGTGTTTGTATTTACCTGTATGTACTGCTCCCTTGTCAGCGTCATCCGTCTTGCCTCCTCTTTGTTGTCACGCCTGAGTAGGAACTTAGCGTTGTAGTCTATGTGGGCCTGGAGGCGGGACTCATAGTGCAAGTCCGTGACACGCCTTTTACATGAAGCGTAAGCCACCTAATACGCACTTTCCTCCTGTCCCTCCTGGATTCTAAAGAAGTCCTGCATAAAGACACGAGGTATC